GGATACCCTCCTCCTCTCCTCTCAATACAACAAATATTCAAGTATATAAAACATAGAGCACTTATACAAAATTCTCACAACCATAGACCTACTATTATCATTAGCAAACATAAAACCTTCTATATTCCACAGTTAAGTTTGCCAAACAGTTAAGTTTGCCAAATTGCCACTTTATTTTTTTTTTCAATTTACCAACATAAATATACCAGAGCATCTCTCCTTATATATAATTGAATAGTATCAAACATACAAATGCTCTTCAGGTAGCAGAGATCAGTCCCTCTGGAGAAAACAGTGGACTCTGTCATTAAACCCTGCTGAGGTCGCCACAGGAAACTGACACTATTTGCCCAAAGCCAGAGCACTCTCCCAGAGCCTCTTTCTAGATCCCGTTGTATTTGTTTCCGCAACGGGCATTATTTCTAGTGTGTATATAAAACAAGCTACAATCTTAAAATATTTAACCATATTGAAATTTGTTTAAAGCATTTAGTTTGCCATAGCATAATTAGAAAGACAAAGTCTATACCCATATCTCTATTGTATAACATTAAATTATAGTTAGAATCATTTCTAACTATATTAAAAGACTTCAACTATTTAATTAACCAAGATATACTTGTATAGGCTTAACCAATAGCCATACCTATATACCATTAAATTAATGTTCTTCTCCCTTCCCTCCCCTCCCCCTCCCCCTTTTTTGTATTTATATTTTATATTGTTTATAGTTTTAAATTATTTTTATGTTTTTATATATTTTTGTTTCTAATTTATTTTAATATATTCATAATCTCAAAATAAATACCATTTTATATATACATTTGGCAAACCCAATTAAATTTCTTATTCTATGTTTTTTTCTTATTTTTCTTTTTTTAATCAAACAATGTAAAGCTTTATAAAATTATTAACTTTTCTCAACTATATCAGAACAACATCAAAACTATGTTATTATAAAATAAAAATCCAAGCTGCTTCCTTCATCCAAAATAACTAAAGTTATGTTGTTTCTTTAGGGAAAGGCTTCTTCTGTTTAGAGCTGAGTAGGTAAAGATCTGTCAGCAAGCTGCCATGGTGTTCTGTGTTGGTTGTATCTCTGTACAGTTACTAACCCCCCCCCCCTGCCTGGGCGCCACTATTTTACTCTGCTGTAATGCCTAAGCCAAACAACTGGAGGATGTATTGGGGGAGTACGCTTGACTGCCAGCTTGTTGCTTTTAGAGCCTGGGAACTGCACCTGTATTATGTCTGGAGATAGCCTGGTTCTCAGGGAATGAGCACGCAACCGTTTCCTTTCACCCACCAGCGGGAAAGTGACCCATTGGTTCTGTACCTGGTTCAAATCCCTTTATTATGCTTGCCCTAACAGTTTGTAGTCAGTTCTAACAAAGAACGTGTTTGAGTGTCTTTCCAACGCTTTGAAATAAATTTTGCTTTTCTTTAAAACGTGGATTTATTCTCGATGCTTGGGGATCCAACACCACCATTTGTTCGTGTGTGTTCGACTGGCCGTTTCTTGTCTCTTGGGTCTGGATTTTAATATCATCAGTTTTTCTCCAAGAAGCTCAGATGGTGTGTAGGTTGGGATGATCCAGTTTTATTTTGACAATTATCTTGTGAATTATCTTGTGAATCTTGACAATTGTCTTGTGAATTAGGTTGGGCTACTCCCAAGCCAGGGATTCACACCCAGCTCTCCCTCCCCCAAGTCTCACACCCAGCCTGTTAACACAGTGCTGGCTGTTACGTTGTCCCTGGGACACACACACAAACACAACCACACATACCCATGCCTGCTCCATCTCTTTTTCCATTAACAGAGAGAGGGCGCCGTTCAGCTGGAAGAATACACCATTCCCCTGGATATCACAGGTAGGAAAGAACGGCTGAGGTAAAAGGGCTAGAACAGTGGTTCTCAACCTTCCTAATGCCGCCTAATTCCTAATACAGTTCCTCATGTTGTGGTGACCCCCAACCATAACATTATTTTCGTTGCTATCATAAGACCATTGAAAATTTGTGTTTTCCAATGGTCTTAGGCGACCCCTGTGAAAGGGTCGTTCGACCCCCAAAGGGGTCGCGACCCACAGGTTGAGAACTGCTGGGCTAGAAGAAGGTCTGTGGGTGATGGATGTGCGTCATGCAGTTTGAATACGTAATGCTTTTAACCTTTAAAAATCACCTGTGTGGTTTCATCCTGTTCCCTTATGTGGAAGACTTATAAAATTCAGAAGGAAGAATAAACTTAAACCCACTGAAGGCCAAATGGCTTGTTAGTTTTTTTGAGGAAGTTGGGTCCGGGTTCTGCAGTGTAGGGGAAGGAAAGTCTTCTGCTCCCCCATTCATACTCCGTTTTTCTGAGCTGAAATGGCTAGGGGGGGGAGTAATTTGCCCACATTTAGCTCCAAAGGTGGGCAAATTACACCCCCTCCACACACACACACACACTCTGTTTCAGCTAGGGTTGCCAAGTCGATCTTCTGCTGGAGCGGGGGGCTCCCGGCCGGCGTGTGGTGTGTGCGCGCGTGCGCGCGTGCCGCATGCACATCACCCGGAAGTGACGTGACGACGGCAGGCACGCTGGGGGCGGGGCCATGGCCATACGAGGGAAAACCATGGCCATACGAGGGAAAGCCCCCAGCGTACCCGGTGTGGTCGTGTCACTTTCAGGTGACGCGCACGTCAGGGTCGAGTTCCCCCGGGGGCCCGATCCGGCGGCGGCGGAGAACGGGCATCTGGGGCGGGGTTTTCCCCGCCCCTCAGAGGGACTTGGGAAGCCTAGTTTCAGCTCAGGAAAATGGCATGGGGGAGGGGAGACAGGAGCCCTTCCTTCCCTGTGTGATCATCCTGAGTCCAGTCAGGCTCTTGGGGACTTTAAACCCTACAGCTGCTATGTGACTATGGAGAAAGCAAGTTGTCTCGGCACGGAGGAACCTGGACCCAACTCTTACCAAAAAACATAACATGTGGTTTGGCTTTGAGAAACAGTAGAAATGTGCTCACATCTATCATAATCCACAATGTGGTTAGGAAAGAGTTCCCCTCTTGATTGAGTTGATGGAGCGGACTGGAAATAGGGACACAGAGAGAGTTGATGGAGCGGACTGGAAATAGGGACACAGAGAGAGAGAGAGAGATCAGATAATTATATATAACAAAATATAAAAGACAGAAAATATCTCTTCCCAACATCCCCTTCGTTACATTAAAAAGTTTTGTGGGACGCTGTCTATAAAGTACAATGATACTTCTGTTGAGGTACATATATATTAGAGAGCCAGCGTGGTGTAGTGGTTAAGAGCAGTGGGCTATAATCTGGAGGGCTGGGTTCGATTCCGCACTCCTCCACATGAAGCCAGCTGGGTGACCTTGGGTTAGTCACAGCTCTCTCAGAGCTCTCTCAGCCCCCCCCCCAAGTCTAGCTCACCACCTAGTGGTGCATAAACGCTAAAAGAGTTAGAACTTAAGGCTGCCAGACGATCTTCGGATCTCCTGGCTATACCACACATAATGCCATACAATATTTATTCATTTGATTTTTACCCTGCCCTCCCAGCCAAGGGAGGCTCGAGGCGACTTACATAAAATCAATACCTAATTTACAATAAAACATGAATAATTTAAATTAAAACAATACTACAATCATTTAAACTATACAACTCAATAAAGTACTAGTAACATTAATTCCTGATGGCTATAGTTAACGCAATCCACATCTATATTCAACATGTTACATTTCAGATTTCATAAGAAACCTCTTTTGCACCTACATGATTAGTTTCATCATCACTACATACTCAGTGTTGCGTATTTTCACCTCTTCTGCGTACTCGCTATTACTTCTAACAAATAGCAAGAATACAGAAGGAAAGTCTATTATATATCTTGTCAGAAGAAAACAAAAGTCCACTTCCTTACACAGGCCTTACAAACCTCTTAACATCTTCATACATGCCTGGGAACCTGGGAACGACTTCTAATGGGTGAAGCGTAAAGTTGCCAGCCGCAGGATGGGAAGTTCCTGGAGATTCAGGGCACAGTGTGGGAAAGGCAGAGTTTGGGGAGAGAGCTCAGTGAGGGATGTGAAGCCACGAGTCCACTCTGAAACTCTCTGAACCTGCTACTTTCTCCAGGGGAACTTATCTCTGTCATCTGGTAGGATTGCCAGACCCCCCCCCCCCCCGGGGCGTTTTTGGGCTTCAACCTGCCCACTGGCCAGCTGGCCATTGGGGGAAGCCCTACCCCCCAAGCCCAAACACCCACAGCCACCCCTCTCCCTTCTCTCTTGAGAGATTTAAAGGGCCGGAAATTGTTGGAGGTGTAAGAATAACGTAGGAACGTATATTCATATCTGGTGGAGGTGTGAGAAAATACAAAAATTCTGGGAAAGTATTAAGCAGTGAATAGAAGAAATTGCAGGAATCAATTTGCCAATCACACCAGAAATCTTTTTACTTAATATCACACCAGAGGGGATTAAACATAATGAGTTATCTATTATACTGTACATAATTACAATCTCAAGAATAATAATAGAAAAGAATTGGAAAACAGACAGAATACCGACTAGGGAAGAGTTGATTATGAAGCTTTTTGAAATAATAGAAATGGATAAGCTGAATATGTACTTGGCGGGAAAAACAGAAAGTAACTTTAAGCAAAAATGGCAAAAAGTCAATAAGTGGATTGAAGAAAATGTCTAATGTAACCCCAGAATGTTGGAAAATATAGGGAGTGTATGTTATGGAAAAATGAAAATTAAAATTAAAAAGAGAGAGAGAGAGATTTAAAGGGCCCTCCAGCTGACCGTTGGAGGGCCGTTTAGATTTTTCCGGGGGAGGGACAGGGGCGGCTGCGGGCCACGTGCCTGAATTCCAAGTGGCATTGACCCTTGGAGATCGGGCATGCGGGCTCTGCCGGCTGGACTGGTGGAGACTGGGGGGCCCCACACCTGAATTCCAAGCAGCATTGCCACTTGCAGTTCAGGCACGCAGCCAGCGGCCGCCCCCTCCCTCCCCTCTTGCAAGATTTAAAGGGCCCTCCACCTGATTGGTGGGCCATCTTGTAGGAGGTTTGGGAGAGGGGTGGCCGCCGGCTCTCGTTCTTGGGCGTGGGGCTTGGCATGGGGACATCCCTAGCGTAATGTCATCACGTTGGGGACGCCCCGCCCCCTTCGGGAACGCTCCCCCCGAAGTCCCCCACCGGGGACAAGGATGTACCTGGGAACCATAGTCATCTGGAGATCGGCTGTAATTCTTGGAAAACTCCAAGCCCCACTTGGAGAGGTCAGCAACCCTAAAAGACCACTCTTTGGGGGGGGTGTTATCCTATCTTTTGAATGAGCTTAGTGTAGACTACGTAGTTCTTCTCTCCCTCATTTTATTGCCACAACAACCCTGTGAGGTAGGTTAGGCTAAGAGCATGTGACAGGCCCAAGATCACCAGAGCATTTCATGGCAGAGTGGAAGTTTGAACCAGAGCCCGCCCAGTCACAGTTCCTCAAACTGGCTTTGGGTTCCGGCTTGGGCTGGGCAGCAGTGTCGCCGTTTGTTCTGCAAAGTATTCCCTCTTTTGATTGTTTTAGCTGGTTTTATCTGGTGGCTTTATTTCAGGGTCACTGGCTTGTGATCTTTTTCATCGTGAGGGAGCTGCCTTTGGCAGCCCCAAATGTTTTGTTTTTCTTCTTCTGTCGGAGGTCATCTTTGTGAAGATGCCAACCTCAGTGTTAGCCCAGTTAGCTACGTGGGATAAGGGGGGGACGGTGGGTTGATGTGGGCAGGTGATAGAACACCAGCATTATATGTATTTTATAGTCTTTTTTCTTTCTTTCTTTCCTTTTTTTTTTTAAACAGTCTATCACAATTGCCTGGTTAAATTACTAATTTGCTTTCGTATGTGTGTTACTCAAACCGCAGTGGTTCTCACAAGTTTAGGGAAGACAGTAGGCAGCCCCGTAGCCAGGAATTTTTGGCTGTTGGCGCAGGGGCTGGGGCACTGGGGCAGGGGAAATGGGGGTAGCGAAGGAGAGAGGGGGGCATGCGGGGGGGCTGGGGAAGGAAAGGGAAGCTGACCTGCCACTTCTGGTCAGTTTCACTCTGGGACCAACAGCTGTTACACTGACCTGAGCGGTCGGGTTAGAACGGATAAAAGGAAGTACTTCTTCACCCAAAGAGTGATTAACACTTGGAATTCACTGCCACAGGAAGTGGTGGCGGCTACAAGCATGGACGGCTTCAAAAGGGAATTAGATAAGCATATGGAGCAGAGGTCCATCAGTGGCTATTAGCCACAAGGTATAGATAGGGACTCTGGGGCAAGTCTCTGTCTCCTTGGTGGTTGGGGGGGGGGGGTCAACAGTGGGAGGGCTTCTAATGTCCTGGCCCCACTGGTGGACCTCCTGATGGCACTGGTATTTCTGGCCACTGTGGGATACAGAGTGTTGGACTGGATGGGCCTTTGGCCTGATCCAACATTGGCATCTCTTATGTTCTTATGTTCTTATGTTCTTATGTTCTTATCAGGGCGGTTTCCCTTTGATTTCCCAGCCTCCCTGATGCTGCAGGGACAAGGGGCACTGGGAGTGGGGGGTTTGGGGGGTCTGGCATCCTCCCAGGGTGGGCGGGGCTCATCCGTGGTGGAGCTCCAAGCCAAATGCCCCACCATGGCTATGGGCCTGACAGTAGGGCTTACTGGTTTGAAACCAGAAGGACCATATCATTCACCTTAATTTTCTGTTTTTGGCATAGATGGCCTTAGTAGGTCTGTGGAGATTTCAGGAGAGATGCCCTCCAATGCCATTCCTGATGGGGACTTCAAGATGAATGTTCGATTGACAGGTGAGAAAGCAAAATGAAGGCCCTCACACCCTAATTTCCACTTTCGGTTTTTGTAACACTAAACTGCTGAACTGTGTAAACAGAACTATTTACATAGTTCAAGGACCAAACAGGAATAACAACCTTAGTTTATATGGTTACCATTTGTTTGGATTTAATTCCGGGGGGGGGGGGGGTGAGTGTTCCTTCACTGTGTTTCCCCCGGAATTAAATCAAAACAAATGGTAGCCACATAAACAAAGTTTCCTTCACTATGTTTCCCCCCCAGAATTAAATCTAAACAAATGGTAACCATATTAACTAATCTTGCTATTCCTGTTTGGTCCTTGAATCTGTTAAACATCTTCATTATGCTGTATGCTAATTTACTGCTCACCCTTTGCCTATACATATGGGCTGATAATTTTCCTTTCATTGTATCCGAAGAAGTGTGCGGGCACACAAAGACATACCTTGAATAAAACTCTGTTGGTCTTAAAGGTGCCACTGGACTCAGATTTTGACCTGCTTAACTGTGTGTTCGCTTTGACATAGGATCTGTGCCAGCTGACACTCTGGAGAGTTCTCTGTCGCCTGAAGGCCTGTCGTCACTGCTGCGAGTTCCACGAGGATGCGCTGAACAAACCATGATCTATATGGCCCCAGCGGTCTATGCCATGCACTACCTGGACCAAACAGAGCAGTGGCTGAAGCTCAAACCAGACAGCAAGGAAAAAGCACTGGAGAACCTTCGCACAGGTGGGATACATTCTAAGGTACACGAAGAAGACACTCCAGGATAGGGGTTGCCACCGTGGTGCCTGTGGGTGCCATGGTGTCCACCAGCACTTTTCCGGGTGCCCACCAAGTGTTTTTAGAAAGTGGGTAGGGCCAGGTGGGGCAGTTACCCATCAGGGCTTCTAACTGGCCACCGGAGATCTGATTGGCTGGGCAGTCTAAAATAACGTGTCACCTGCAGCTGCCACCACAGTGTTGGTTTTCTTCTCTCTCACTCCTCTTCCCAAGTGTATTTTTTTCCTAAAATTATCCCTCTTTCCCCCTGCACTTAGGCTTCCTCTGTGTCTGTGTGTGGCTCTGCCTCCTGTGGCAGCCATTTTGAGGTTAGCTCCACCTCCTTTGGCAGCCATTTTGTGGTTGTGCCCAACACCTTGTATCGATATTCCAAAGTTACCCGTGGGCTCCAAAAGACCCTGTTCTAGAATATATAAGGAGGCTGGACAAGTGTAAGCCTGTGCCCTAGATTACTTCGACAAATATGGGCATGATCTGTGGATTAGCACACCTTCAGGCAGGCAGGCAGGCAGGCAGTCATTTGGCACCACACTTTTCTTTTCATATTCTCTGTCGCTGTTTGGTCAAATTCCGGAATTGTTTCCCTCTTCCCCAGCATTCACTGCATCTAATAATTTCTCAGTTCATCCATTCACTGGTGATCAACTTATTTAGGATAAGTGTAGCCCGCCCCCTTTTTTCCTGTGTACCCCTGCAATCAAAAGATTGTTGAAAACTAGCAAAGGATTGGTAATTGAGGGAGGAACTCACTTCCCTTTCATGTCGTAGGCTACGAGCGAATCCTCACTTTCCGGAAGGCGGATGGGTCATATGGAGCTTGGATCCACACCCCAAGTAGTACCTGGTGAGACCCAGCATTGCAGGGGGGGCCGTGTGGGCCTTTGGGGGGAGGCTGGTGTCCAAATGGGAATATTCCGCATCTAGAATTCTGCACTGGGGGGGGGGGTTCTGAATGTCCCAAGCAGAACATGCAGACAGTGGAATAAAACGACCAACGCTTATGCAGAAATTATTTACTTTATAGTCTGCCTTTTTCCCTAAAACTCATGATGGATTATAACTAAAGCCAGTTTGGTGTAGTGGTTAACTAAAGCCAGTTTGGTGTAGCGGTTAAGTGCACGGACTCTAATCTGGGAGAACCGGGTTTGATTCCCCACTCCTCCACTTGCAGCTGCTGGGTGACCTTGGGCAAGCCATAGTTCTCGCAGAGCTGTTCTCTCAAGGACAGTCCCGTAAAGAGCTCTCTCAGCTCCGCCTACCTCACAGGGTATCTGGTGTGGGGAGGGGAAGGGAAAGGAGTTTGTATGCCGCTCTAAGACTCTAAGTGAAGGGCGGGGTATAAATCCAATCTCTTCTCTTCTTCTTCAATGCAATAAATATAGCATAAGACATACAACTAACAAAGTGAGAGAACATTGGGATGGGATATTTTGAAGGGTTCTCTTGTTTGTTCTTATAATCTCGTGTACCTGCTCCCTTGGTTTTAATTTGGGAAATCCATCCATCTCTGTTGGGTATGCCTGCTAGGTGAGGGCCGGCCTTGCTCACAGCAGCAGCCTCCCCCCCCCCTCAATTACTATGAGATGTGGTGTGGTAGGTGGGGCCGGCCACAATTCATATGTAGGATTGCCAACCTCCAGGTAGCACCTGGAGGTCTCCAGCTATTACAACTGATCTCCAGACTACAGTTTCTCTGGCGAGAAGGGCTGCTGAATCCCCTCCCCTCACCAAACCCCGCCCTCCACAGGCTCCACCACCCCCCAAATCTCCAGGTATTTCCGAACCCAGAGCCGGCAACCCTAGTCTCAACGTGCTATACACTTATCAGGTTACTGACGCTACATCTATGACCACTCATTTTTCAGGCTGACGGCTTTTGTGGTGAAAGTTCTGTCTATGAGCCGTCAGTACCAGGCGGTGGACGAAGGCAAGATCCGCGAGTCGGTGCAGTGGCTGCTGAGGAAACAACAGTCCGATGGCTCCTTCATCGACCCGAATCCCGTCTATCACCGGGATATGCAGGTGGGCCCCTGGGCAGCCATCTTTCTCGTCTCACGTTTACAGCTGCTTCCCAAAGCAATGCTTTGCTATGCTGAGGCACTGGTTTAGAAGCTGCAGCTCATTGTTGCTTTGAGGCTACCTCTGGTGTACCTTCTTGTTTTTCTTCCCTAGGGTGGTGTCGGCGGCCTTCGTGGGGGAGTCTCACTCACTGCATTTGTCACCATCGCGCTTAAGCAGGCCTTGGTCCTATATGAAGGACAGCAGTCAGACGCAGAGAAGAAGGAGCAGTTAAAACAAGTGGTACGCAGTAAGGGAGTGGTGTGTGTGTGTGGGGAAGGGGTGCGAAGAGAGAGGAGGGAAGGGCGTATGGAGAGAGAGGGGAAAGGGGATACAGAGAGACATGGGAAAGGGATAAAGAGAGAGAAGTAGGTATTGGAAGAGAGCAGGGGAAGGGACTATGGAGAGAGTGTTTCAATTCCGCAGTCATATTTTGCAAGCAGAAAGATTAATTCACAATGCCTAGAACCGGGGTGTCGAACTCATTTGTTATGAGGGCCGGATCTGACACAAATGAGAGCTTGTTGGGCCGGGCCATGTGTGTCATAAAATGTAGTGCCAGGTAGTGAAGATATAAACTGTATAAAGGACACAAACGCAAAGATAAAAACATGCTTAAAACATTAGCTCTGTATGCTGCAAACCTACTTCTGATTTATTGACATTCACCGCAGAAACCTCATGCTCAGAGTTCTGAGCTTAGGACCCAGGTTAAAACATGAAATGGCTGAGCGAGTGAGAGAGTCTGGCGAAGCAGGCTATGGTACAGCAGCAGCAGCAGAACTGGCAGCAGGAGATGGCCAGTTCCACTGTGGGCCTGGTAGACGCCCTCTGGGGGCCTGAACCGGCCCCCGGGCCGCATGTTTGACACTCCTGGCCTAGACTCTCAACTTTGTCCGGCTGTCCTCGGCCAGGGCCAGGGCCTTCTCAGTCCTGTCTCCAACCTGGTGGAACTCTGCTGAATGGCGTTAAAGCAAGCACCAAATAGATTTGTATATACGTGCTTAGCCATAGCAAAGAAGAACTGGCATAGGGCAATCAGTGGTGTTTTGGGGGCTGGACGTTGAGGAGGACGGAGGGATGCCAGCCTCCAGGTGGATCCCCTGGAATTACAGCTCATCTCCAGAATACAGAGATCCGTTCCCCTGGAGACAATGGGTGCTTTGGAGGGTGGGTTTTTTGTGGCACTGTACCCCACTGAGTTCCTCCCCCCAGTGTTCATCCTCAAATCTCCAGGAGTTTCCCAACTTGGATCTGGCAACCCTACCCCCCCATCCCCTGCCAGTGGCCGGGGGGACCTGGCGACCCCATGTGGAAGTCTAGGGCCCCGTCTCACAGGCCCAGTGTCAGAACCCACAGCTCAATCAACGTGGCACACACTTCCAGGAAGGTTTTACTTTATTGAAAAGCCATAGATGCAGTAACATGAACACTGTTAAGAATGGCAGGCTACCTATGCGCATAATAGGATATAGGGAATTCGTATGCACCCCCCTACTCTACTGCCATGACCAATAAGGTACCGGCCCGCGTGCGGGCAATTGTCAGGCTTACTAACGGCTGCAACGCTGGGAACAGAGAGGCTCCCATGAACAGTAGACACCACATATCTGCCTCCAGTACAACATTGAAGATAAGCGTTACAGCTGCAAAGCAATTAAGCGCATGGAAAAGAATGCAAGGGAAAAAAAACCCTCCCTGCATCTTCATGGCAGCATAGCTGACACTCAGCAGAGCCCCCCCCCCCAAAGCATGCTGTATTTTCACATTGGAATTATAATTTCTATCTAAAAGGGGGGCGCATATTAATTCTAGACTCCAAAATTATCTAACCTCCCCCCCCCCCCGAGGACAATGGCTAAGTGCGGTGGCCATTAATTGAGAATTCCTTGCTTCAGAAAAGCTTAGCTTCGACCACTCACCCCGAATCCACAGCCCCACTTGTCCCGGTGCAGGAATTTTACCTCAGATCTGCTGCTCTCCATGGCATGTTGCTACTTCTTCCTGCTATAAGCCAGAAGAAGAGTATTATATCCGCATGACTGTGACAGAGCTTGGGGTGGGAGTGGTATGTGGAGACAATGCTCACAGCAGGCTCAGAAGGGGTCTCAGCTCAGTAGGAGATCAAAATGAGGAGACACCCCACTTCTTGGCGGTAATCTCAGTTTATTGAGGTTTCCTCTCACTTCGCCTTTACACTTCTTCCACCTGGGTTAGTGAGTGGCACTCCTGAGATGTGCCCAACGTCTGCAGCTCCTCCTCCTCCTCTTTTTCTGACCACCCTCAACTCCATTTCACCACTGCATCAAGACCCTGGCCCAGGAACTGGAACTCCCCCCTTCCACCATCACCACCATGATCAGGTGATTGCACTCTGGGCCTCATGCCCCAATGGCATCTCAGCCCCTTTCGCCTCCAATGGCAGCAGCCATGGCCAGCCACTCTTGACCTGCTGTAGGGTTCCCTGGCCACACCCATCCCACAGGACTGGCCCCTGTCTCTTGGATGGCGCCCCCGGGATGGCTCATCTCTAACTCCAACCGAGCCAGCCTCCTCCTGCTCACAGGCCCTCAGACTGCTTAGATGGGTAGTTCGGGATTTGAGGAAGAAGGTCACAACGACAATTTTATTCCCCTTTTCTCTACACCCTCTTACCTCCCTTTCCCCTCACCTTGTTGTAGTGTTGTTTTCACTTTGGGGTTGCCAATATTTATATTTATTTATTGTTTCTGTTTGTATCCCGCCTTGCCGGGCACGCTGGCTCAAGGCGGATAACAAAGTTAAAATGACGTAAACAATACAGGGATGAAAACAATTAATAAATACAGTACCAAGTTAAAAACAGCAACAATTCACAAATAAAACCGACAGATGATGGCAATGATCCATCAAAGCCAGGAAGGGAAATTCCTAGAGATTTGGAGGCAGAGCCTGGGAGGGGTGGAGTTTAGGGAAAGGATGATGATGATGATGATGATACTTTCAATTTATTAATCGGTTTCCCCAGTGGGCTCAAAGCGATGTGCAGTTACACATTTTAGACAGGGGACTAACAGTGTTCATAGGGGATAGGGAAGACAACATATATTCATTTAATTGCGCACGCCATCACTGCACGGCGTAAACGTCGTCTGGCTTGGCTCAGTCATTTTCCGAACGGCTGCTTGTTGACCAGGCTTCAGGACCCGTATGTCAAATCGCCACACTGCCACCGCCTGACTGGAAACATCCACTGCAGGGATTTTTGTAGCCGAGAAGTTCTTCCGCCTTTTTCCGAACCTCGGCCAGGACGTCCCGACCGTCAGCTAACACCCTCCCACAAGGGAGATTGGTGTGCCCACCCTCTCTAAGGAGTGGTTCCCATTTTATCTACTTGCTGAAGCTTTCGAATCGCTGGGTGGACGATGAGCTGGGGACAACAGGCTGGCTGCTCACACCAGCGCGGGGCTCGAACTAACACACTTCTTCCAGGGGAACTGGTCTCTGTAGTCTGTAGTCTGGAGATCAGTGGTAATTCCAGGAGAATTCCAGCTCCCACCTGGAAGATGGCAACCCTAGTTCACCTTCTAAATATTGTTCTGTAATTTCAGTCCTAACTTCTGCCCCACCCTCATCTGCCATACTGGGATACCAACAACAACTGGACTGGTGCTGCAAGGCCTCCAGCTGAAGAGATCGGAGTCTTGTCCCTCTGATTCCTTGTCATAATTGGGCTAAAAACAAGAACATAAGAAAGAGCCCTGCTGGATCAGACCAGTGAGGGTCCATCTACTCCAGCATCCTGCCTCACACAGTGGCCGAACAGTTTCCTATGGACAGCCAACAAGAGGGCATAGAGGTCGAGGCCTTCCCCTGAGGTTGCCTCCTGGCTCTGGGATTCAAAGGATTAGGGCCTCAGAATGTGGAGGTTCCCCTCAGCCACCATGGCTAATAGCCACCGATAGACCTCCCCTCCAAGAATCTATCTAATCCTCCTTTATAAGAACATAAGAAGAGCCCTGCTGGACAATTGGACAATTTGGACAATTTCAGTGGTCCATCTAGTCCAGCATCCTGCCTCACACAGTGGCCGAACAGTTTCCTATGGACAGCCAACAAGAGGGCATAGAGGTCGAGGCCTTCCCCTGAGGTTGCCTCCTGGCTCTGGGATTCAGAGGATTAGGGCCTCAGAATGTGGAGGTTCCCCTCAGCCACCATGGCTCGTAGCCACCGATAGACCTATCCACCATGAATCTATCTAGTCCCCTTTAAAAGCTGTTTATTCCTGTGGCCGTTTGCTATATCCCCTGGCAGCGAATTCCACATTTTAATCCCTCTCTCTGTGTAAAGAAGTGTTTCCTTTTGTCTGTCCTGAATCTACTGCCCATTGGCTTCATTGGATGAAAAAAATGTAATTAATCCACCTGATGCAAACGTGATCACATTATATTATCACATACCCCCTTTCCCTTTGCTGTCAGTGTCTGGCTCATTTCATTCATACAAGGACCAAGTAAACAAGGAGAGGGAGGCAGCAAGCTCTTGACTGAGGGCCGTTGTTGCCCACGTGGTCCAACATGTTTGTGGTATGCACAAGGACCTTGTAATGTGTGGATCAGTCCCTGGGCTGCGGAAGGGGGGGAAGAAGTGCCGTCGCAGTCTTGATCATCAAACCCCAACACTGTTGACTTCTCTTTCAGGAACTCGGCCTGTTTCAAGCCACCTCCTACCTGGCCCGCTCGCTGGATGACCCCTCTCTGGGTCCCTACCCTGTTGCCATCTCCAGTTACGCCCTCTCGATCGCTTCGCAGAACCAGTCTGCCTTGACTTCTGCTGATGCCCTCCTGACGAGGCTCGCCACGCAGGATCAAAGTACAGCCCTTTTTGTCTCCTAACTGCACTCCCCCTCCTGTCTCTGTCCCTCACAATTAAAAAAAAACCCTCGTTCTTCCCATGTAAAGGCAGGGCTTAATAAACTCCACTCCTCAGGAAGGAATTCAAGATAGATCTACTTCTACAGCAGAAAAAGACCAGATAGGATTGCCCACTGTGGGCTGGGGAGAAGCTGGAGATTTTGGGGGTGGAGCCCGGGGTGGGTGGGGTTTGGGGAAGGGAGGGGCCTGAAGTGTGCTTGTTATAGGGCCTACACAACAGTACCATAATTTTCCCCTAGTACCCGGAGGGCATTGTAGGCATACAAAAGCTCCTACAGATAGCAAGTAGGTAGTGCTTCTTCCCCTGGCAGTGCCAGAGATCAGTAGGAAAGGAGCATTTTACAGAGCCTGGATGGGTTAAATGCTCTGTTGACTTTGAGGCAAAGCTGCCATCTTGGGTCACTCTAGTGACAGAACGTAGAGAGGTTCAAAGAAATGCACACTCGTCTCGGGCACATTCATGCCCAGCGCATGTTCTGCTCCCTTACTGGCCACCACCTTACCCTTACTGGCCACCACTTCCTCTTCCTTTCCATCCCCAGACAGTTAGGCGGTCCTCCTTGACCAATTGTCCAATGACCCTCCTCAATTAGGATCCAGCAATGTCCTTCTAATTGGAACTGAAGTCCAGCTCCTCAGCACCTACTTAGGGTGGGACATGGTATTGCTCCAAACCTGAGTAATGCAAGAGATGAAATTCTGTTCTCTCCCTCCAGACAACACGGAGATACACTGGGCAGTGGGGGACCAAGAGGTCTCGGCCATCTCTGTGGAGGCCACAGCCTATGGGCTGCTCTTCCTAGTGAAGCGAAAGGACACCAAAACGGCTGGGAAAGTATCTAAATGGCTGACGGAGCAGAGGAATTATGGGGGAGGCTTCAAATCAACACAGGTACCCCCTGACATGACCAGAATACTTTGCCTTTCTCAGAAGGGGTATCGGAGGGGTATCGGGGTGTGGCGTGAGGGAATGAAATAGGCATAAGAACGTAAGAGGAGCCATGTTGGATCAGGCCAGTGGCCCGTGCAGTCCAACACTCTGTGTCACACAGTGGCCAAAAATACCAGGGGCCATCAGGAGGTCCCCCAGCGGGGCCAGTTTGATCTGGTTTTGCCGTCACAAAGTCTTGCGTGCAGGAGGTCCCAGGTTCGATCCCTGGCATCTCCACTAAAAAAGGATCAAGTTGTATGGGATGCCCCCGACCTGGGTAGCCCAGGCTAGCCCAATCTCATCCGACCGTAGAAGCTAAGCAGGGTCAGCCCTAGACAGTATTCGGATGGGAGACCAAGAAAGTCGAGGGTTGCTATGCAGAGGCAGGTGATGGTAAAGCCCTGTATGGTCAGGGGCCAGCATAGCTGAGGGACTGCCTTTCCTTTTTTTTTTTAAACACTTTATTTTCCATTTCAGTCTAATTACAAACATTTCATTATCTCAGATTACACAAATTTTTAGAGTCATGGCATCCAATTACATGTCGTATATCAAATAAAAGCTATTTTCTCTTTTTCCTTTTCTTATCATATTTTAACATGTTTTATCCAGTTGTAAACCCTTAACCATCTTTTATCCTGTATTTTTTGGTCTTTATCCTGCAGTATTAAACTCAAATTGTCCATTTGCGCTAACTCAAGGAGTTTTGTTATTATGTCCTCTTTCAAGGGTATTTTGTCCATTTTCCAATTTTTCGCCACTAATATTCTCACAGCTGTTATGATGTATACTAATAAATATACATCTTGCTTGGTGTTACCTTTTGGAATTATATTTAATAGATAAATTTCAGGTGCTAACAGGACTTCTAGATTTTCCAAAAGTTTTGCATTTTATTGCATTTCCACCACATGTGGTAAAAGGTCCCCACATTAGATTTACATTTCCAACTGCCTTTCCTCACATGTTCCCCAGAGAGCACTGCGTTCAGGGACACAAAACTTCCTAGTGCTCCCTGGCCCTAAAGAGACCAGACTGGCCACTACCAGGGCTAGAGCCTTTTCTGTGGCAGCACCGCGCTGGTGAAATGAGCTCCCTGAGGACACCAGGGCCCCACGGAACTTCAGTTCCTGCGGAAGTTGCAGGCGGAACTTCATTTCCGCAGGTCCTGCAAGACGGAGCTCTTCTGCCAGGCATTTGACCACACTTAACATCTTTATAACTTGGAGCCCCCTTGTGGTTGCTGGCATCACCTAAGTCTGTACTAACTGACTCCTGCTATGAAAACATTGGATTATGACTGCCGTCGCATAGGAAAATACGTTATGCATGGCGCTTTAGATTTTCTGCGTTTCTGAACTGTTTTAACACTTTTATGTAAGCTGCCCTGAGCCTGCTTCGGTGGGGTGGGTGGGGCATAAATCCAATAAAATAAATCCATAAACCACCTCTGGATGTCTCTTGCCTTGCCATAAATCTGCTGTGACTCAACAGCAAAAAAACCCCAAACAATAATAAGTAGGTGATGCAACCTGAGAGGCTGGATAGCGGCTGCCAGTCAAGTAAGCGTCTCTGGCCTTGATAGACCAGGGGTTTGACTCAGTAGAAGGCAGCTTCAGGTTTGAGTGTGTGTGTGTGTGTGTTTCTTTCAGGACACTGTGATAGCACTGGAAGCTCTGTCCAAGTACTGGATCAGCACCTTTGACGATGAAGACAATGAACTGAAAGTGACCCTCACCACTCCCGGGAGAAGTCTGCCCATAAGAGTCTCCATCGGGAGGTCAGAAGACCCAGTCCAGGAAGAGCTGCAGGTACGCCGTGTCAACCTTCCCCTGAGTATTCTTGCAGAGGAGGGGTCCAAAGCTCCCTCTGAGCTGTGGAGCCCTGTGAGCAAAAATTCCGCTGTGTGAGCTACTGGCATTAAAGTTGTGAGCAGGCGATTTGGCTGCTGCATCAATTAGTCTGCTCTGGAGCCATCCTCCCTGAGCCAAGACCAAAATGTGTGAGCCGGAGGCTAAAAAAATTGTGAGCTAGCTCACACTCACTCAGCTTAGAGGGAACACTGGAGGGGTCCCACAGAGGCCTCCCAAGCCACATTCTTGGCCTCCCAAGCCACCCCGTGTCTTTGAGTCAGGCCTCCAAAATGGATTCCAGAATGATATCACCAGGTGCTCTGCTCTGCTTGTTCCATCTTTTCCTGCTTTTGTTATTTTCCCCTCCTTCAGTTTTCCTTGGGAAGTGACATCCGTGTAAAGGTGGAAGGAAAAGGAAAAGGGACTTTGACTGTGAGTGTCTTCATGCCCTTTAAAAAAATGTATTTGGCAATATAAGTAACCACGTGTTCCCCCTCAATTACTCTGACACGGTATTAAAGCAAATTAACTTCACTTCCCCAAATATGAAAGTTAGATAACCGCTGCTTTTTGCAGAAACCATTTTCCAATTTGCCTGTGGTCCCATTGTCTGCCACTAGATGGCCAGATTTTTTTGTTGTTCAGTCGCAGTCGAGTCCAACTCTCCGCGACCCCACGGACAAGATCTCGCCAGGCCCTCCTGTTTTCCGCTGTCCTCTGAAGTTGGCTCAGTTTCATGTACAATCTGCCAAAGTTTTGTCTGACAGGCAGAAGTCCAGTAACTGAGGCCTTTGCAGGAAGAGCAATGTAGTGGGATCTTCTTCGCCACCTGTTGAAGTTCTGCCACTGCATATCTATTGAAGGCATCAGTAGCACTATCACAACAAACAAACAAAAATAACAGTTTTTTCCTCTGTCCGTCCACTGAGTGGGATGAAAGGATGAGGGTGGGAGAAGGGGGCGCCCGAGTCCTGCAGCCCGTGGGATCTTGTGTGGTACTTCTGCTGAGGGAGTTTATGGAATCAGGACTCCTGTCCTTCAATTCCCTCAGGTCCTGAAGCAGTTTCATGTCATGGCTGTTCAGAACACCTCCTGCCAAACCCTCGGCTTAAAGGTGGACGTGAGCGGCTCAGTTCGCCGAGATGGTAAGTCAGGATTGAAACTAGAAATTTAATGCTGTAGAATCCATCCTCCAAAACAGCCATTTTCTCCAGCGGAACTAGGGTTGCCAGGCCCCTGTTTGCAACCGGCGGGGGAAGGGGGAATTACCTGGAAAAAGAGAAAGGCCCAGGCCTCGTTGATGGTGTCACACAGGAAGTGATGTCATCACAACAGTGTTGTCCAGGTGACACTGGTATTTGGACAAAACCTCTATGGTAAAACCAGCTTCTACCATTGAGTGCTGCCTGGACATCACAGATTGGATTTATACCCCGCCCTTCACTTGGAGTCTCAAGCGTGTCTTACAATCTCCTTTCCCTTCCCCTCCCCACAACAGACATCCCGTGAGGTAGGTGGGGCTGAGAGAGCTCTGAGAGAACTGCTCTTGAGAGAACAGCTCTGAGAGAACTTGTGACTGACCCAAGGTCACATCAGCAGCTGCATGTGGAGGCGTGAGGAATCAAACCTGGTTCTCCCAGATTAGAGTCCGCGCTCTTAACCACTACACCAAACAAGGAGCCACATGTGCGGATGCATGCAACAGTTTGTCCTGAGTTCAAGGGGAGGGCCTGTCCCAGCAAGCAGTCTTCAGCATGCGATATCTGCAGGAGACAGGCCTTGGGAAGAAATGCTCAGGAGAACAGCAGCCTTCACCAGCTTCATTAGATCCCAACCAGCCTCACTCTAGTTTTAGTATTAGTATTAAACAGACTCGAAACCAGTCTGCTCCTCTGATTCCCAGCCAGAACTGATTTATGTTTTCGACCTCTCATCCTATTTCATGAGCCTCAATCATTTCTTTCTGCCTCTTTACAACAGCAACGTTAAGCGACTACTACTATGAGGACATGGACTACGGGACTGGAGAATCGGGGCCATCATCGCTGCCTGCTGATCAGCCACTCTCGCCCATCCAGTTATTTGATGCCCGCCGGCGCCGCAGGAGGGAAACCAAAGGTCCCGACCAGCAGCGAAGAGATGTCACTTACAATGTCTGCATCTGGTACGCAAGATGGTTGTACTAACTTCCAATGACCGAGTGTGGGAGGTGGGACTTCCTTTTCTCCTCCTTGTCACCTTCTAATGTTCTAGACCATGGGGGTGGTCTTACGTTTGCCAGCTCTAGGTTGGGAAATACCTGGAAATGTTGGGGGTGGAGCCTGGGGAAGGCGGGGTTTGTGGAGGGGAGGGACCTCAGCAGAGTAGAATGCCATGGCATCCACCCTCCAAAGCAGCCATTTTCTCCAGGGGAACTGATCTCTGTAGTCTGGAGTAGGAATGGGCATTTAAACGTGGAGCCATTTAAACCCCTGCTTTCTGCTCCCCATGAAAAGTGGCATGGAGCAGAAAGCAGGGGTGACAAAATGATACAAACCGGTTCAGTTTGCGAACCAACCTCCCAGTTCGTATCAGTTCATGGTTCGGTCATGAACCAAAACGAACCGCAAAAACAGTTTTGTCCATCTCTGGAGATCAATTGTAATACTAGGAGATTTCCACAGCCACTGGAAGGTGGACAGCCCTAATTAGGAAGCAGATGAGAGTTCCCAGACCTATGATCTGAGGGATCCAGGTTCAAATCCCTCCAATCTGCCTTGGAAGCTCACCGGACGGTCTTGGGCCAGTCACTCTCTCTGTCTAACCTACCTCACAGGCAGTGCCGGATTTACGCATAAGCTAAATAAGCTACAACTTAGGGCCTCGCAATCTGCTGGGGCCTCAAATAAAAACACAATATAAAAATGATTTCAAATATTAAAAAGGCGTATATACTTTAAATTTTTCTGAGACCAGCTGATGTAATTTAAAACAGTAGGGGGCCTCTGGGTTTTGTATAGCTTAGGGCCTCAGCAAGTCTAAATCCGGCCCTGCTCACAGGGTTGGGTTTGTAGGGAGGATAAAACTGAGGAGAGCAACGCTATAAGCCACTTTGGGTTCCCATTGGACAGGTAAATGAAATAGTCATAGCTAAGCTGGCTTGATTCAAGAGGAAAAGTGGGGTACAACTATTTTAATAAACATAAATGCAAAATAATATGCACAGTCTGCCATGCATTGGGTATTCCTGAAATGGGAAAATCAGTGTGGTATAGTGGATAGAGCCGCGGACTAGGACCATGGGCGGCCTGGGTTTGAATTCCCACTTCTACCAGGGAAGCTCGCTGGGTGACCTTGAGCCCTCACATGCCCTCAGCCTGGCCTACCTCACAGGGTTGTGGTGAGAAAATGGAGGAGGGGAGAATGATGTTCTAAGCCGCTTTGAGTCCCAGTTGTGGGGAGAAGTGGGATATACAGGGCTATTTCGGGGCAGGAACGCGAAGGAATGCGTGTGGCTACAGAGGGAAGGCCTGGAAAGTGACCCCCTCCCCAGTGATTCTGAGGTAGGCGGACCAGGGGGGGGGCCTGGAAGGATCGGGGAAGCATTTAAATGCCTCCCCACACCTTCCCCTCCCCTCCAAGGGCCAGCTTGACCGGGCTCCCCACAGCTGCGGGACGCCCAGGCAAGCCAAGGGAAGGCATGGGGATGTGGCCCAATAGGCTAATGAGCTGTGCTGTCAGGGGTGTGGCCTAATATGCTAATGAGTTTCTGCTGTTGGCTGTGGCCTATTATGCCAATGAGTTCCTGCTGGGCTTTTTCTACAAAAAAAGCCATGGGGATATACATAAATAAGTGCAAATGCATGCCGGCGTTCTTTAAACCATACCTGACTTTCAAGCTGGGGGCTCCAGCTGGGGTTTTGCTTGAGTTTCACATTTACTGTAGAGATGACAGGTCCTATTAAGTGTTGCATTCTATGCCTAGGCCCAAGCTTTCCTAGTAGGGTTGCCAGCACTGCCTTGGCAAATCCAGGGAGATTTTTAGGGCAGTGCCTGAGGAGAGGAGAGACAGATCAAGCTGCGTAGCCGTGTTAGTCTGTCTGTAGCAGTAGAAAAAAGCAAGAGTCCAGGAGTACCTTAAAAGACTAACAAAATATGTGGCAGGGGAGGAACTTTCTTGAGTCACTGCTCATGAAAGCTCATACCCTGCCACATATTTTTCTAGTCTTTAAGGCAGGGGTTGTTTTGTAGAAAAAGAGCTAGGGGAACTCATTAGCATAACTCATTAGCATATGCCACACCGGCTTCGTCATGTGCCCCACCCTCCGTACCTCACCCGGGGGAACTGCGATCCCCCGCAATCCCCCTCCCCCGAAATGACCTTCTGCTTTAAGGTGCTATTACTGGACTCTTGCTCTTTTCTACTGAGGCGGGTAGAGTTTGGGAAGAATGTCATGTCACTTCCACGTGATGCTATAGGAATTTCCCTTAATCTTTGTGGTAAAGAATACAGGGCCAAAGTAGACATGCCTGGAGTTTACCCTTTTGGTTAGAGCTTTAGTAAAAAAATCTAAAAGAGTCCTATGACATTTTAAGGATTCCTTTTAATGTAACAGACGCATACAGGGCTACCACAGTGGCACCTTGAGAGCCAGTGTGGTGTAGTGGTTAAGAGCGGTGGACTCTGATCTGGAGAACCAGGTTTGATTCCCCACTCTTCCACATGCAGACAGCTGGGTGACCTTGGGTCAGTCACAAGTCCTTTCAGAGCTGGTTTCTCAAGGGCAGTTCCTCAGGGAGCTCTCTCAGCCCCACCTACCTCACAGGGTGTCTGTTGTGGGGAGGGGTAGGGAAGGCAATTGTAAGCTGTTCTAAGATTCCTTCAAGTAGTGAAAAGTGGGGTATAAAAACCAGCTCTTCTTCTTCTTCTTTAAGACCAACAAAGTTTTATTTATGGTATAAGCTTTCATTTGCAAGCACACTTCTTCAGATACCATGGCTGAGGAAATTCTGTTCCACTGTGTCTGAGGAAGTGTGCTTGGACACAAAAGCTTATACCGTGAATAAAACTTTGCTGGTCTTAAAAGTTGCCGCTGGACTCAAACGTTGTTCTACAAATTTTGTTCGTCTTTAAGGTGCTACTGGACTCTTGCTCTTTTCCACCACAAAAGACAGGAAGTCCCAATCCTCACCTCCCACTTCTGTTTTTCTTTTCTTCTTCCCCCCCCTCCAGGAGGCAGCCAGGGGCCCACGTCTCAGGCATGGTCATTGCTGACATCACCATGCTCAGTGGCTTCCAACCGGACCAGGATGACCTCGACAAGGTAGTGGTTAGGGACGGGGGGGGGGGGAGACAGATGGTCTGGGCTGCCATTTTCTAAAATGCTGTGGTTCAGACTTCCCTCACTTACTCTTTACGATAGAAAGAAACTGATTTAGAATAAACTTTTACCTCAGTGGGGAGGGGGGGGGAAGAGGTGAGATTTTTCTGTTTGGAAAGAGGGGGGAAATGCGTTTGGTGAAAGCCACCGCCACCATGCAATTGAAACGTTTGGAGGTTGGGACGAGGGCTGAAGGAGTCAGCGCTGGAGAAGGGTTCTAGGCCCAGGGCCCCCGACCATTTGGACCCTGTGGTGCACTTCCAGAATTCTGACACAGGGTACTGTGGGCAACACCGTGAGCCAACCAAAAAGCGGCCGCTGCAGGAGACAGAGCCACACACAGAGAGGAAGCCCAAATGTAGGGGAGAAGAGGGGTAATTAAAAATACACTGGGAAAGAGGGATGAGAGAATAAACATTGTGGCGGCAGCCACTGCTGAAACAACAGCAGATCAGATCTCCAGTGGCCAATAGCAGACAGGATCTCCAGTGGCCAGCCAACAGCCCAGGTGGGCAACCTGGCCCCACCCGCTATCTAAAAACACTCGGTGGGTGCCACAAAAGATGGCGGCAGGTGCTTGTTCTTGTCTGTGTCATTCACCCAAGTTCTAAAAGAGGTTATTGATAGTGGTGAACTAGCAGCATGGGGTCTCCCTCAGTGAGTTCCTCAAGGCACTGTATTGTCACCCATTCAGGAGATATCTGTGTAAGGCTATTGGATTAGATTGTCCGGAGAGCCAGTCTGGTGTAGTGGTTAGGAGCGCGGACTCTAATCTGGGAAAACCGGGTTTGATCCCCCACTCCTCCACATGCAGCTGCTGGTGTGACCTTGGGTCAGTCACAAGTTCTTTCGGAGCTGTTCTCTCAAGGGCAGTTCTTCAGAGAGCTCTCTCAGCCCCACCTACCTCACCGGGTGTCTGTTGTTTGGAGGGGAAGGGAAAAGGGATTGTAAGCCGCTCTGAGAGTCCTTCGGGTAGTGAAGGGCGGGGTATAAATCCAATCTCTTCCCTTCTTCTTCTTCTTCTTATCTTCTAATTAAAACCAGCACCTTGAGCTTGATAATAGAAGCCAGGGTAAAGATCGAAAAACTGGGATCATGTGCACTTAGGCCAGCCCCCTCTCTGATGATTTACAATTGGTTTATAAATCCCCTGCGGGAACCTGCAAGAAAATGTGAATGAGTTCATAAACACTGGAGGGTGGAATCAAAATTCTAAAGCCCTGGGGAACCTCAGTAGCTCTTCAAGTATCCTGGCTGGAGAGTCTGATGTTGCAAGCACTACGGTTACCTGTCACGAACGCGGTATCAGGCCAGGCAAGAGCAAGATAGTCCCAAGGCAGTCCAAAGTCAAAACCGGGCAAGCAGAAACACCGAGAAACCAAGTCCAAATCACCAACCGTTAGAGTAGCCCTTAAAGCCAGAGTCCAAAGACGTCAGAAGCCAGGGAGTCGAAGGTCCGAGGTACAGGTCAGGAGCAGTGTTCCCTCTAAGCTGAGTTAGTGTGAGCTAGCTCACAGTTTTTTAGCCTCCAGCTCACACATTTTTGTCTTCGCTCAGGAAGGAGGGCTCCAGAGCAAACTAATGTATGCAGTAGCCAAATCGCTCGCTCACAGCTTTAATGCCAGTAGCTCACAAAGTAGAACTTTTGCTCACAAGACTCCACAGCTTAGAGGGAACCTTGGTCAGGAGCGTAGTCATACGAGCCGAGGTCAGGAGCCGAGAAGTCAAAACGAGGAGCCGGAACAGGAACACAGGTGGTGAGGTGCAGAGCTTCGTCCAGAATGACTAGTTGCTAGCACAACTAGTCGGCGTGAATGAGAGGGCTAAATAGCCCGTAAGGCTGTTGGCAATTAGCGCGCCCTGATAGTGTCCCACCTCCCGCTAGTACTCAGGGCTAAAAGAGCGCCTCCCACGCATGCGTGCCTCCCGCCGCCGGGATGCCATGTCCCGTCGGCATTGTTCCCGCAAATGGGACACCGGTGGGGGCAAGTCAGGGGGAGTGTAGATCCGGCGTGGTTCTGCTTCAGCTGTTGTTCAGCAGTAGCCGTGACATTACCAGCCTCCATGTGGGGACGGAAGAGCTTCTGACTACAGCTGATCAGGTACCCTGGAGGAAAATGGCTGCTTTGGAGATCTCTGTGGCATTATCCCCCCCTGAAGCCCCTCCCTTCCCCAAACCACACCTTCCATAGGCTCCACCCCCAAGTCCACAGGAATTTCCCAATCCAGAGGTGGCAACCCTAGCACGTACATTTCAAGTTAAAAGAACTGATTTTTTTTTTTCCTGGTAGCGTCTCTCCCGAGGGCTCAAACAAGATCATGGGACGTTCCACTTTTACCAGCACTCGGTACCGATTTGTACTAACTTTGAGCTTAGTTTAAATTGGGGGGGGGGGACCTGCTGCAGATCAGAACTGAACTCAGAAAACGTTGAACTAAAACAGGTTGACTGTACCTCATCTGAATTATATCTGTAAAAACGAAACAAACTGAGGCGATTTCAAATTTAAACCGCTAGCGTGAAAGCGGCTTGCTTTTCTGTTACAGCCTCGTCGTTGGAAGGAGAGCGGTGGCGGCATTCGATTGGGTGGGAGAGGTCGGGTCTTCTTCTGGGGGGATCTGCTGGCATTGTCCACCTACTGATTTCTGTTCTCTTGCCTGCCTCCTCAGCTGCGAGATCTCGCCGATCAATACATCAGCCATTGGGAGATGCAAGGGCAACGGCTGCTGCTGTACTTTGACACGGTGAGAGAAGCTTGCCAGAAAATGAAAATGTGTGTGTGTGTGAGAGAGAGAGAGATTTAGTACATGCTTAGAAATAGCCACTTGCCTGCTCGCCTAGAATGAATATGTATGAATGAATGAATGAATGAATGAATGAATGAATGAATGAATGAATGAATGAGAATCTCCTATAGTTGACCAGGCCCTGACCTGGATAGCCCAGGCTAGCTTGATCTCATCAGGCCTCGGAAGGTAGGGCCCTGGCTAGTATTTGGATGGGAGACCGCCAAGGAAGTCCAGGGTTGTGACACGGAGGCAGGCCATGGCAAACCTCCTCTGAACGTCTCTCGCCTCGAAAACCTTACGGGGTCACCATAAGTCAGCTGTGGCCAACGTTCCCTCTAAGCTGTGGAGTCTTGTGAGCAAAAATTCTACTTTGTGAGCTACTGGCATTAAAGTTGTGAGCGAGCGATTGGGCTGCTGCAAAAATTAGTTTGCTCTGGAGCCATCCTCCCTGAGCGAAGACAAAAGTGTGTGAGCTGGAGGCTCAAAAACTGTGAGCTGGCTCACACTAACTCAGCTTAGAGGGAACACTGGGTGACTTGACAAAAGAAAAAAGAGAGTCAACCAACTCTAGTGTTTTGTCTTATTTATTCAGAAGAAGACCTTTTTTGTGCCTCTCAGTGCCAGATTTCTTTGTGCCAGATTTCTAATCTGGCTCTGAGCAATCAGTATCAAAAATGTCATAGTGAGACACACTAAAGCTATAAGGTATCACCAGTGCAACAATAAAACTGCAACGGTAAAGATATCGTATTTATTCAAAGGCAAGTCTAGTTTGTTTTTTTTTTTAAGGTATGCCATCAAAGAAAAAGAGGCTTGTCTTAAATCCACATACAAGTTACAGTGCCGGCTGATACAAAAAACTTTTTTTGTGTATAATATTGGGGTGGGTGGGAGTTACCTTACGTTCAGGGTCACTTGTAGCCCAGAGGCACTGCCTCACTCGCGGGTAGCCCCAGCAGCAGTCGTACCCCCACTTCAGACCTGAACCAGAGTCCCCCAAAGTCAGGCCGGAGAGGTCACTCTCAGCTTGAGCCACAGAGCAAGCCCAAAAAGCTCTGCAAAAAAGGGGACTCCAGTCTTCCGTTTTCACACAAGGCAGCCCTCTGAGGCAATCTCCAGTCTTCCCCTCCACTCAACAGTCAACAATTTCCATAGCTATTCAGTTCCCACCTGGCAAACAGCCCTTCTGTCTCCAAACCCACACGTAATCCCTTTTGTGACTCTTACCGATGGGGAAATAAATAAATATCCCAGGTTCAATCCCTGATTTATCTAGTTAAAAGGGTCTCTGGGGTCCAGTTTGGAGACTGTTCCTGGATGGAGAAGGCCACTCTGGACTAGATGGACCAATGTGCCAATCTGGTATAAGGCAGCTTTGTATGTTCACATATAGGTGCCAGGATCAGGCCAGGAATGCATCTCCTTTGGAGCAAAACAGCTGGTCCCGGTGGGAAAACTCCAGCCAACCAGTGCCTCCCTCTATGACTTCTATGAACCCGGTAAGCCTGAGCAGATCATGGTGCAGGGAGTCCCCCAGGGGAAGTAGGGTGTTTTCTCCTAGGGGGGTTTGGGGGATCCAGGAGACCAGGGGTCCCCAACCTTTTTGAGCATGTGGGTACCTTTGGAATTCTGACAAGGGGTAGTGAACATAATCACAAAATGGCTGCCACAGGAGGTGGAGCTAGTCACAAAATGGCTGCCACGGGAGGCTCACAAGATGTCAGGGAGTGAGGTTAGCCATTCCTCTAATAGTAACAAAACGACATTTCGAGCAGGAGCTCTGTTTAACAGGGCACCTTTTAATCTGCGGAGCCAATCAGAATCCCCGCTGGGAAAATGTCTCACCTAACCCCTCCCACTTGCTAACAGCACTTGGTGGGCACCAAGAAAGTTATCGGCGGGGGTCATGGCCGCTACGGCCACCCTGTTGGGGACCCCTGATGTATTCAGTGGCGGGTTGCCTTTGTTAGTCCGAATGGATAAGTAATGGAGATCTTGGTCCACAATCATAATTACTAATATTATGTGTAGACTATTATATTCTTGCTGTCAGTATTTAGTGTGGCAGGCTTGATTGCTGGCCCCGGGAGCCAGCCCAAATCCATGGATTTCCCCCAGCCTTGCCCTTCTCTATGACATCAAGCTGAGATTTGGAGGCACTTCTCGGAGGGGAGAGAGACTGTGGACCCCTTTGAGTCTCAGTGATTCAGGACTCGGGGAGAAGGTGGAGGAACAGGATTAAAGTAACACCCCTATCATATTATGCACACATCTTCCCTGTCCCCCTCTTCCTTGACAGAGAAGCGCTGCAGCATCTTCTACGGCATACACAACAAGGACCAGTTTGTGTCGGCATTGTGCTCAGAAGATGTCTGCCAGTGCGCAGAAGGTAAGACGGCCTGCCTGCCCGAGTGCTGGCATTGGAGGAGGGGGGGGGTAAAATGGGATTTCCAATGCGCTGTCTGGGCCAGAGAGCTGCCCCCAGCACAATAAGGACACACGTTGGGTGCTGGTGCTCGACCCCACCCCGCCCCAGCTGCCCGAGCTGAGGACAGACTCACCTGTGCCAGGAAGGCCGAGAGGGAGGTGGCTGGGACCCAGGCAGATCCCTCTGACCCAGCTAAGAACAAGGCGGGGAGCCAGGCGGGGAAGGGTGTGGTCAGGAAGGCCCGGAGGGGAAAGGCTAAGAGGCAGCCCTGAGCAGCAAGGGGGAAGAGCAGGGCAGGGAGACAGGCAGCTGGGGGAAGAGTCAGGAAAGGGCTCCCGCTCCTTTCACAGTCGCCCAGGTAGAGCAGGTGGAAGGAGATTAGAGACAGTCCAGGTGGGGTGGGGCCAGGGAATCCTATAAAAGAGAAGGCACCGCACCTGGCCAGTGTGTGTTGGGGTTTGAGGGAGGGAGTGGAAGGAAGAGGACCTGGGGGCTGGAACTCCCCTCTCCTTCCCAATTCTGAGGCCTATGGGCCTCTTTGGTGGCAGGACAGCTGACGGCAGGGAGACCATTTCAGGGGTGGCAGAGCCTCACTAAAAAGGTAAAGGTTCCCTTGCTCGAAAGCCACTCGAGTCCGACTCTAGGGTTGCGGTGCTCATCTCCGTTTCAAAGCCGAAGAGCCAGCGCTGTCCGAAGACGTCTCCGTGGTCATGTGGCCGGCATGGCTAAACACCAAGGCGCACGGAACGCTGTTACCTTCCCACCGAAGTGGTACCTATTTATCTACTTGCAGTTTCTTGCTTTCGAACTGCTAGGCTGGCACTGGAACTAGAGATGGGAGCCCAGTCCATCATGCGGCACCCAGGTCTCGAACTGCTGAACTACTGACCTTCCACAGCCTGCAGTTCAGCGTCTTAATCACTTGAGCCACCACAGCTCATACTACATACTACTTATGTCCATAAGATGCACAGTGAGAGAGAACTGAAGGCCACAAAAGCAATGTGACTGGCATGCTCTTACCCACCGTGCCCAGGCCGCAGGCCCCAAAGGGCACATGACTCATCATTGAGTGCTCTCTTGCTGCCTTGTCTCTTGAGCAATGAGGGAAAGTGGATGAGAAATGAGGTCGGGCTCTTTCGCCATCTTTAAGAGCAACCCCCAAACAGCTTGCAGTGATCACCCTGGCCATGCTGTTTGACATGGTACATGTCTCCTGTATGACTACAGGGAACAGCTTCCTAAGTCACAGTCTATACATTCATGGCCCTGGGAGTGAGACATTATGGTCACTGTCCAATAGGTTCCTACGCCAATTGTGTCCTTGTTCCTGTGAAGTACCCTTGAAAGTTGTGTGAGCTGGGGATTTTCCTGAAAGTTGAGCTTGTTGGGGCAGCATCACTTGGGTGGAACAGGGAGATAGCTGCTTGTAAGAAAACTGCTATGTATGAAGAGCAGCCTTGAAATTCCAAAGTTTCAGGTCCTTACTCCACACCTATTCCCATCCTTGTATGTTCCTGCCCAGGAATTGATCGCAGGGAGGAGCCCTCCTGACTGACCCTTCAATCAGGGAAGCTCATCTCGAGGGCATGAGAGAGAGGGCCTTTTCTATGGCAGCCCCACAATTATGGAACAGCCTCCCCAGGGAGGTGCGCTCGGCCCCCCTCACTGTCAATCCTCAGGAGACAGCTAAAGACGCTTTTATTTAGGGCTGCATTTGAGTGATTTAGTTTTTATTTATTGGCAGTCCTAACTGGAGATTTTTAAATTGCGACCTTTTGTACGTTTTTATAATTATTGTTTTATTTATATTGCTTTTATTTTGTTTTTAAAGTTTAATTTATATAGTTTTTATTTTTTTAAATAATCATTTTATTTATATTGTAAGCTGCCTTGAGTTCCTCAAGGGAAATATTTTAAATAAATAAAATAAAACAAGCAGGGGGGGGTCTTGTCTCCAGTTTGGTGCAGTGGATAGGAGTGCGGACTCTAATCTGGGAGAACCAGGTTTGATTCCCCACTCCTCCACGTACAGCTGCTAGTGTGACCTTGGGTCAGTCACAAGTTCTTTCAGGGCTGTTCTCTCAAGAGTAGTCCTCAAAGAGCTCTCTCAGCCCCACCTACCTCACAGGATGTCTGTTGTGGGGAGGGGAAGGGAAAGGAGATTGTAAACGGCTCTGGGACGCCTTCAGATGGGGAAGAGCGGGATATAAATCCAATCTCCTGCTCCTCCTCCTCCTCCTCTTCTTCCCACGTCACTTCCCTCCCAGGGACATCGGCTGTTTCTGTTTTACATTAATGCCCTGAGTCCTCCACTGGGATTCCAGTTGCATCTTTTCCTTCCCTTCCAGGTGCCTGTCCACGTTTGAAGCGAACTCTTCAGGAAACCATTAAAGAAGACACTCGTATGCAGTTTGCGTGTTACAATCCCCGTGTACACTATGGTAAGCGTTTGGTTCTGGAACAGAGACCCCAGTGCTATCAGTTGGCTTTTGACTCTTTAATTTCCCCCTACTCACAAAGCCTTTTTTGATTTTCAAACACTTCACCCGCCACAGTTTAGTTCCTTCAATTTTCCTGCTCTCTAACCTGGTAACCTCTCTGAAATTGTCTTCTCACCGTTGAAGCCTGGAGGGTTGTGACCAGTGTTCCTGCTAAGCTGTGCATGTGAGCGGCCGCTCATTAACACAGGAAGCCCCGCTCAGCAGCAGTCTGGAGCCGCACAGAATCTTGCACTGGCCATTGACCATTTGAAGATTACAGCACTTATATTCTGCTCAGGATGCACAGTGGGGGGGGGGAGAGAATAGTGTAAACATTGGATGTGCCAGTGTTCCCTCTAAGCTGAGTTAGTGTGAGCTAGCTCACGGTTTTTTAGCCTCCGGCTCACACATTTATGTCTCAGCTCAAGAAGGATAGCTCCAGAGCAAACTAATTTATGCAGTAGCCAAATCGCTCATTCACAACTTTAATGCCGGTAGCTCACAAAGCAGAATTTCTGCTCACAAAACACCACAGCTTAGAGGGAGCAACTCTAGCTTCAGCCACTAGATTTCAGTGGGCTTGGCTAGGTTAATTTCACACTGACAGCATTTATAGCAACCGTCACCAAACTTGTCAATGCTGTGGAAGATTTTAGAGTTTTGAGAAGGGATTATGGGCAGCACCGCACAATAGCTGTCCTCGGAGCCTGGAGCGGCCACAAAATGGCTGCTATGGGAATGGAGAACACTTTCAAAATGGGGAGGTTTCCAACCAACCTTCCTGTTAGGATTGGCTACCCATAAATAGGTGCTTCATGCAGATCCAAATGTGATGCCTCGCAATGTTCCCTCTAAGCTGTGGAGTCTTGTGAGCAAGAATTCTTTTTTGTGAGCTACTGGCATTAAAGTGGTGAGGAAGCAATTTGACTACTGCATAAATTAGTTTGATCTGGAGCCATCCTCCCTGAGCTAGGACAAAAATGTGTGAGCTGGAGGCTAAAAAACTGTGAGGTAGCTCACACTAACTCAGCTTAGAGGGAGCACTGCTTGGGGGTCTTTTGAACCACCTGTTGTTGCAATATTGATGTAGGAAAGCCAGGATTAAGAACCTAAGAAGAGCCCTGCTGGATCAGACCAGTGAGGGTCCATCTAGTCCAGCACCCTGTCTCACACAGTGGCCAACCAGTGCCTCTGGAGGGCCAACAGCAGGGCATGGAGGCCAAGGCCTTCCCCTGATGTTGCCTCCCAGCTCTGGGATTCAGAGGCTTACTGCCTCTGAATGCGGAGGTTCCCCTCAGTCACCATGGGTAATAGCCCCTGATAGACTTATCTTCCATGAATCTGTCTAATCCCCTTTTAAAGCTGTTCATTCCTGTGGCCATCACTACATCCTCTGGCAGTGATTGTCTGTCTGCTCTGAAGATGAAGCCCGTAGGGTGCCGGGAAATACATCAGAGGGTGGCATGACACCAGTGGGCACCATGTCTGGAATCACCGCTCAGCTGGCTCTTCTGGACCAAGCATGCGAGGCGCTGTGTTTTTAAAAAGAGTAACCCCGGTTTTATAAGCTTCCTGGCCAATAACCGCCTACCCTCCGACTGCCTTTTTCTGCCACCCACAGCGTTCCGGGTTCGAGTGGAGAGTGAGAGCCAAGAAAGCGCCTTCCGTGTCTACAAAGTGACCATCGTGGAGCCCTTGCAGTTCAGTGAGTGATACTTTGGGGGAGGGGGGGATTGAGCACCAACTTAGAGCCGGTGCTTCTTTGCCGCCCACAAGCAACTGGACAGCTAAATCCCCGCAAAATCTGGGTATTCAAGATCAGATCTGGGTCTAAACATGGCAAAGGTCCGTCATAGGGCTGCCAGCTGCATGTTGGGAAATACCCGGATATTTGGGGGATGGAGCCTGAAGAGTGTGGGGTTTGGGGGAAATGATGCCACAGAGTCGTTCCTTTTTTAACATTATCGTCATTATCGTTGTTTCTCACACGGGTGTCCCAGTGGTCTCCTGTCTGAGGGACTGAGCTCATCAACCTCACCTGGCGGGCTTCAGCAAGGCCGCTTGATGAATCGCTCTCAGCACATTTTCAATTCTCTCTCTCCCTCTCCAGCCGCAGACATGGGGGTCTCCGCTGACCACACTCGACGTTTCGTAGTCCGTGCGGCATGTCGGACGCGCTTGGATCCAAACAAAGAATATCTTCTGATGGGACGTGATGGAGAAACACGGGACTCTGAAGGCCGGTAGGTTAGGGAGAAGGGAGGAGGCAGAGCTGGATGCATCTAGGGTTGCCAGGTCACTTACTGGTTGCAGTGGGGGGGGGGCGGAGTAGGTCCTGGTCCGGGACTTTTGGATGTGTGCATGGTATGCACGCCACAATGACATCACCCAGAAGAAACATCATCATTCTAGGTATGTCACTGGGGGACGCTCTAGCATTCGGCTTGAAAACTCTATGGTACCATAGAGTTTTCAGGTCAAATGCTAGAGCGTCCACCGGCGATGTGCCCAGCACAATATCACCTCCGAGTGACGTCATTGCGCCGGGCATGTTGGACTGATCTGGGCACTTTGGGGGCGGGGTTCCCCCTGCTGGCCGGGTCCGGGCTGTCAGGTCGGGGGCCCTTTGAGCGGGCACACCCTCACCCCCCTGGGGGACCTGGCAGCTCTAGATGCATAACAGAGTAGCGGAAAGGCAGAGAGAAGTTGGTAGCCAGAAATGTTGTTCATCGGCAGGCAGGCTGTGTCACAGAAGGGAGCCATGCTTAACGGTTGCCCTGACCTAGGTAGCCCAGGCTAGCCTGATCTCGTCCGATCTCGAAAGCTAAGCAGGGTCGGCCCTGGCTAGTATTTGGATGGGAGCAGGGCTTTTTTTTGTAGAAAAAGCCCAGCACGAGCTCATTAGCATAATAGGCCACACCCAATTGCAGAAACTCATCAGCATATTAGGTCACACCCCAATAACACCGCTCATTAGCATATTAGACCACCCCCATATGCCTTCCCTTGGCTTGTCTGGGCGACCTGCGGCTGTGGGGAACCTGGGCAAGCCCCCTCCTTGAAGGGGAGCTGCAGGGAGCCCGGGCAAGCCAGCCCTTTGACAGGCCAGGGGAGGCATTTAAATGCCTCCCCAATCCTTCCAGGGCCCCCCTGGCCTACCCACCTCAGCGTTGCCAGGGGGGGGGGGGTCGCTCTCCAGGCCTTCCCTCTGCAGCCACGCATGCAGAGGTTTTGGGTGCAGTGGGCGCGGCCAACTCTGAAGCCAGCCGGGACTCCGTTCCTGTGCGTTCCTGCCCAAAAATAGCCCTGGAGCAGACAGTATTGACCTTGATGGGCTAATGGGTCTGATTCAGTACAAGGCAGCTTCCAGTATTCCTGTAACCTCTGAGGAAAGGGCCTCTACCACTCCAGCCTCCCTTAGTACACTGCCTTCAGACTGCAGCAGGAGGCTTTCAAGATGGAATCCCTTCTCTGTATTAAAAGAAGAATTCTCAGGAACCGGATATTATTCAACCTCTAGGGAGCCCTTTCCTATGCACATGGCCCTTCAAAACTCCACTCCCACCTGCAGTCTGAAGGCGTTCACTACCTCCAAGAGGGTCAAACTCAGTGCTCGGTAGCAAGGGACCTATCAGAAAAGGATCAGTAGCCGTGTGCGGTCGCAGTTGGTCAGGGAGTCCAAAGCTAAACCCCGCGGGTCCTCAGGGCACTTGCACACGAGTAAGCAGATCTCTTGTTTATTTTTTTTTAAAAGGTGATGAAGTTTTATTTTAATTTCTGTCAAAATAAAGAATTACTCTACAGAAAGCACATCGCTCTAAAATCATGCAGCAGGGAGGAAAAACAGCTTAACTAACACTTTTCAGGGCTTGCATTAGATGGCACGGACCTTAAATCCCAGAGTCAAAGGCCGAAGCTGAGGCATTCTCTACGTTGCTAGCGATTGCAGTTCAAACATATTGTAGTTCAGGCTTTTAATCCATAGCAGAGGTCATTTTGGGGGGGGGGATCGTGGGGGATCGCAGTTCCCCCGGGTGAGGTAAGGGGGCGGGGCACATGACGAAGCCCCGCCCCCTGCTTCCGGCCGCCCCGCTTCCAGCCCTCATTCAGCCAAGAGGAGGCAGGAGAAGAGGGAGGGTAAGTTGCTTCCTCCCTGCCTCTCCCCACCCCTGCTTGGAGCCAGGGAGGGCCTTCGCGGGGCTTCCTTGCACTCCCGCCGGCCTTGCAGGTCCACCGCTGCAAGGCCGCCGGCGGCCGGGACCGTTGGGGGCGGGGTGTGTGGCCTTATGACACACTTCCGGTGATGTCAGGGGGTGTGGCCTTATGACACACTTCCGGTGATGTCAGGAGTGTGGCATATGCTAATGAGTTATGCTAATGAGTTCCCCTAGCTCTTTTTCTACTAAACGACCCCTGATCCATAGACATCCAAGCTGGTTCCTCTTCTTCAGGGCCTTGGTTCAATTATAGTTTTTGGCCCAGCAACCTCGGGTGATGATGACATCCAGTCAAGACACGGTCTCAGGAGAAGTCTCTAGAAGATTACCTCATCACCCCTGACTCCCCTCCTCCCGTCCTACGGGCCGCAGGTCCTCACAAGAAGCTAGTTACCACACTTCCCTCTCTGGCTGAGAGACCACATAGTTAAGGCTGAGAGACCAAATAGTAACACCTGCAGGACGGACCGGGCCGTTAACTGTCCCCATGAACCCCTGAGGGGGGAGGCCAGAGGGTGCTTTGCCTCACACAGTGAGATTGACAGGCGGGGATATGGGAGTATCAGCAGGAGAGGCCGAGAAACCTTCCTTCCGCCAGCTCTCTCCCACAAATGCCCCCTCCACTCTGTGCTCCCAGGATGTTGGCAAATGCAGATTTAGAAACAGGCACTTGCCAAGCTGCCTTGTCGTCCCACCCCCCAGGTCTCTCGCAGGTGGGGGGGGGTTATGCTGGAAAAATGTTCTGACTCAGCCTCTCTGCAGCCCCCAGTACCTGCTGGATATGAACACCTGGGCAGAGGAGCTGCCTCCCTCTAAGCACTGCACAGCCACCAAGAATCGTAACCAGTGTCTCAGCGTCCAGAATTTCATGAGTGCCTTTGCCGAGAACGGCTGCCGTGTCTGAACCAAGAACCGGACCAGAATCCCACGTGTGTGTGCCCGCTGTTTCTCCCTGCATCACCTGCGACTTTGCCTCTGAATGGAGCGACTGATGCCCAGATCCCTTAACTCCTGTATTTCTTCTCGTCTGATGCTTTGCATTTGAGGGATTTGAGAACATTAAAAGCAGAGCCCTGCGAATCAGGACAAAGGCCAGTTGCCAGTGGGGTGCTTACAAGCGGAGCATGGACACGACAGTCTTCCCCTGTTGTCCCCCCGCCTCCCCCCCAGCCACTAATATCCAGAGACAGACGTGGTGCCCTTTAGGTATCACGGCTGACTGACCTGACCCATAGGACTTCTCAGACCTCATCTTTCAGCCTCCTGTTTCTGCATGCAGTTCGTATTACTTTTGGGTTCATATCTTAGGAGATATGTACATCCTTTCCATCAGTCTTGCACATTTGCATTAATGTCACGCCATCCTACAATAAACATGGGTCATATTTTTATGCTTTCAACTGTGGTCATCATTTTCCAGCGTCGTAGAGTCTGGCTGCCACCAGTGTACATCTTTCAAACTGTTTATTCCTAGATACTTGAAGAAAAACAGTTCTTACTTGGGGGGGAAAGAGGAGACTAAAAGGTCTCAACAAAACATACTTTGGCCACCCATTAAATTAGGTCAAGACATGAACTGTTGATTTATTTTTTTACTTCATTTGTACCCCTCCCAGCTCCCCAGTGGGGGCCCAAGGTGGCTGACACCATTTTCCTCCATTTTATCCTCACAACAACCCTGTGAGGTAGGTTAGGCTGAGAGAGCAGGACTGGCCCAAGGTCACCCAGTGAGCTTCCATGGTATGAGTGGGGATTCGAAAGCTTCGGGGAGTAGATAAAATGGGTACCACTCCTTAGAGAGGGTGGGCACGCCAACCTCCCTTGTGGGAGGGCATTAGCTGATGGTCGGACGTCCTGGTCAAGCTTGTAAAAGGCGAAACAGCTTCCTGGCTACGAAAAAGAACGCCTGCAATGGATGTTCCGGCCAGGCGGTGGCAGTGTGGCAATTGACATACGGGTCCTGAGGCCTGGCCAGCAAGCAGCTGTGCGGGAAAAGGACGGAGCCAGCCAGAAGACGTCTACACCGGGCAGTGACGGCGCGTGCAATTAAAGTGAATATATGTTGTCTTCCCTATCCCCTACGAACATTGTTAGTCCCTTGTCTATATATGGAGTAACTGTACATCGCTTTGAGCCCACTGGGGAAAGTGATTAATAAATGGAAAGTATTATTATTATTCGAACCTGGGTCTCCCAGGACTAGTCCAACACTCACACTGGTGGTCAAAAGTGCCATCAAGTCTCAGCTGATTTCTGGCGACTCTGCAGGGTTCTAACAAGGTGAAAGATGGTCAGAGGTGGTTTGCCATTGCCTGCCTCCGCGTAGCAGACTTCCTTGATGGTCTTCCATCTGAGAACATCTGAGATCTAAGGAGACTGGACTCCCCTGGGCCATCCAGGTCAGGTGGAAGACATAAACACCACAGGTAAAATTCAGGTGCAAAAACATTCCAGAATCTTCCTTCGGTCAAAAATAGCCGAGCATGGGAGAGAAATGTCTCCGTTCCTCACTCCATTCCCCAGCAGGAACTGCTAACCTAGGTCTTACTATCTGGGTAGAAGGAAATGTGCCCAAAATGTGAACCTAGACCTATGCATTTTATCTGAAGGATTTTTTGGCTGAAATGATGGGGGTTCAATGCAAGGCTGGAATGAAGACAGAGACAGGAATTTAGCAGAACAACAGAAAAAATTTATCGAGAGAAACCAATACTGGCACCAGTCAAAATACTAATCGGGTTGATTCAGGTAGGGTAGCCATGTGGCTCTGAACCAACAGAGCAAAGTTTGAGTCCAGTGGGGCACACGTTCTCCAGGCCAGTTTGGCCATGGATCCAGGAGGGTTTTTTGCCATCTTCTGGGTGTGGAGCAGGGCTCACTGGGTGTGTGTGTGTGGGGGGGGAAGGTATTTGTGAATTTCCTGCATTGTGCAGGGGGTTGGACTAGATGACCCTGGAGATCCCTTCCAACTCTGTGATTTTACACACGAATCGGGTTAGAACAAAGTTTGAGTCCAGCGGCACTTTTAAGACCGACACATTTTTATTCACATACAGGGAATATGAAGAAGTGTGCTTGCACACGAAAGTTTATACCCAGAATTAAAGGTTGTTGGTCTTAAAGGTGCCCCTGGACTCAGACTTTTTTGTTCTGCTGCTTCAGACCAACACGGCTGTTCCACCTAAATCTATACTAATCAGGTTTGTGAGAGTCAACATTTCCATTAGGGGGCAGTAGAGGGAAATGTTCTGTGCCCAGCTGCCAATCAAGCAAGCCTGGCCTCAGAGACCAGCTCCAGCCTCCATCTGTCTCTGCAAGAACCCGGTGCCGATAAATAGGACCTGAGGAAGCTTCTGCCCTGCTAGATGAGTTCAAATTATTGCCCCCCTCCAAAAGCTTATACTTGAGTCCAGGGGTCATTTCCTGCGGGAGTGCACAGGAGCGGAGCTCCGGCAGTAAGGAGCCCAGGGGGCGGGCACAAGCAACAAGCCCCACCCCCTGCTCTCAGCAGCCTTCAGTCGGGCTGGCTTCTGGAAAGAGGATGCCGGACTAAATGGGCCTTGGATCAACTTCAGCAGG